TTTCAGGAATAGGGTAAGGCAGGCATGCCTAGTAACTGACTCTTTGGTAGTTAAGAGTTTGTGGAACTGTTTATTTGTAAAGAAGATTAGTAAAACAAAACCCTATTGGATAGTGCACATATTCAGCAACAATGGGTCAATGAAAACATAAATAATGAGTGATTGAAGTGGGTGTGAATGAACCTAAGGACATTCAGTGCCTGACAATGGCAAGACCATTTTTTCATGTGGATACAAAGCTGAACAAGGATGAACATGTTGCAGATGGAGGCTAAAGAGATTTATATGGTGTCATCTTTTATATGGAAAATATAATCAAATGTTACAAAATACCAAAATCATCCAAGTGCAAAAGTGATCCATGAAATGTTACAGCTCTTAATGGTTACTAAGTAAATAATGAACTATGAAATGAATGATTGTGTGCAATGACAGAAATCAAGCCTGGTTGCATACGGTTATAAACTGAGATCAGCTTTACTCCCTGAGCTGAGTATCCATCATGAGAAGAAGAAATTTAAAAACTGTTTCCTCCTGATTCCAAATAAGAGGCTGATTTGGATTTCACTGGTCAAAGGCATCCTTTAAAAAGTATAATAAAAAAGGATGCACTTATAAGGTAAGTGCTTCCTGTTTGGCTAAAGAACCAATGTGCTTTGTTGCAATGTCCTAAACTTCTTTGGACTAATATACACATTTTTAAGAACCAATTAGTTATAAAACAGAAACCTAAAGTAATAAATGAGAGATAATAAGAGTTATTTTATTAACCAACTTACCTATCTTTCTAAAATAATTATCACCATTTCATAAGAAAAGAAAATAGTGAGTCCTCTTTGTTTTAAAATACATAATGTCAGAAAACTGCACCAAGAAACCATTGCTTTACATTTTGTTTTTTGTGCTTTTTTTCCAGTTATAAAACAGCATAATGTCAAAGGGAATCACAGTGTCATCAGATTGGCTTGAAATAGCCTGGCAGTTTAACATACTACAATCCAGAAACACAGATTCTATAAAATTATATTATCAAGTTAAAACACAAAGATAACAAAGATTACAAAGTAATGCAAGTTCAAATTACAATGTAACAGCACCTATGTTTTTACAACAGCATTATATGAACATCATGTCATTATGCACAACAGCAACAAAGCCAGTACTGAAGATGTAATAAAAACCTATAAAAAAAATCTACTTCCATGTGAAATAGACTTTTATTTTCCAATAAAAATCTTTTCATATAATCCTGTCAGAAAACAAAAAGAAATGAGATTTCCTATTCTTAACTTAGGTAAAAAAAAATCTAAATGTTTACTCTAAGGTAATCAAAATGAAGTTTAAAATTTCATTACTATTTCCTTCCATGATAAAAATATACATATATATATTTTTGATTGACAAAATAAATATAATGCAGTGATTAAAATAACAACAAAGCAAGTTATAAAAATACTAAATCTTACTTTGCTTCCTCATGCAACTGATTTGCATATGGATATCTGTCAGTTGTAGAAATACTTAAAAACAGTACACATCTTCAAATCAAATGTCAAAATCAAACTTGCTGCAATAAATGGATACAAAAAAGTAGTTGTATTAGCACATACTAAAATAAATAACAAGAATGGACTGGCTGTAATATCTTTGGAAAGAAATTAGATTTCATATATCTTACACCATTCCTTTTCATCATGACCTAAAAATCTACAAGTAGACAACACTATACTTAACACACTAAAACCTGACTTCTACTGAGGAACACATGATTAACAACTAACTCCCTACCCCTGAACACATACACAGAGGTCCTTCTCATTCCTCTGCTCTTCTTGTTTCTCTTCCTTCAGTTTTCTCCAGGCAAACATAGCCTCTAGGACATCCCAGAGACAGGACTCCTTTTGGTAGTCATTGTCAACCAGATTGATGAGGTAGTATGTGCTGGTGATCTGGGATATTATCTGCCTTGACTGGGACTCCGCTGGGTACAGATTTCCCCACTGTTCTTCCCAGAGACCGAAGGCTTCGTCCTGTGAGAGTCAGAGAGCAGGGTTTTTTTTAGCCGAAGAATTATTTTAGCTGTGCTTAATAAATAATTAATTTTCTGACTTTTCTGATTCTCATTTGTTACTGTTATTGTCAAATGTGAAAGCACAAGCACATGATAAAACACAGACACACACAGACACACACACACTCACACACACACACACACACACACACACACACACACACACACACACACACACACACACACACACACACACACACACACACACACACACACACACACACACACACACACGTATATCAAAATGCAGTATCTTACCCTCCATGCCTTAAAGCTACTAGGATCCACTACAGTAGGTTGAATAATCTCTGTGCCAGGGAAAACGCCCCAAGTCACAGCCATTGGACGGTGTTGATGGCAATTACTAAAGTCTGCTTTGCCCTATAACAAGAATGATAAAGAATTAGTATATATGCTGATTATATATAA